CGACTTCGCGACGATGTCAATATCATTCGCGTATGCTAATAGTTGGATTGCTTAAAAAAAATCGTCCTTCCATTCTGCCCAATCAACAAAATGTTAGCAGAATGTCAGCAAACTGGCAACAGATTTAATAAAAAATGTTAGCAGACTGACTTCATCTGAGATCCCATTCTGCTTACATTCTGTTGACAGAACCTGTTGACATTCTGTGTCAGCAGACTGGCAGCAGAAATCGAGCAGATCCTGCCATTAAATTGTGTCGCGCAGATCCTGCTTGCCTTCTTCCGCCAATCTGACAGCAGGATCTGCTCGATTTCTGCTGCCAATCTGCTGGCACAGAATGTCTGTTAACAGATTTTGTCAGGTTTTTAGCAATAGTTTAAGTTTAACAGCAATAGTTAACATTGTCAGATATTACAAAATCTGTTAGCAATCTGTTGCTTTTCTAGCATCAAAAATTTATAATAGACTTTGTGCATATAATTCGTCTTTTGAGGTTTAGCTATCGGTTCTTAGGCCTCGTCTGCAATGCGTCGTGTGTCGGTGTCGTGGGTCGTGAGTTGTAAGAATGGGTCAATCACAGACGAAGTGGAGAGAATACTTGATTGTAACTAACTACGATTGTTAAGCTGAATTAACGTCGCCGTGTAAACGTAATAGATTTTCAGTATTGCAGTGAATTTTAGAATATACTACGTTTACATGGCGACATTAAAGTGTCTACAGAGACACAATGAAAAGATACAGGAAACAGGAACAGAGAATAGCAACAGATTTCGACCAATCAGAAGTTGTGACCAATATCAAAGATATTTCTGATTGGTCAAAATTTGTTGTCTGTTCCCTATTCCCTATTCTGTTACCATTCAGCTTAATTCGGATTTTTTAGGCTATTCCGATATTCACTGACAGAAAATACTGAAAATATATAATTTGTGTCACATATATTTTCAGTACGAGCAGTGAATATTGGAACGCAGCCTTAGTAAAAATCGTAGTTAGTGGAATCTTGCGTTCGATTGATACATTGGTTTTTTTAAATCTAATAATGTGCTTCAATCAAATGCAAAAAAATCACTACGTTGTTGCTAAATCGAATTAACGTCACTGTATAAACGTGGGGTATGGTACACCTATAAATGCTTTGAAGTATTTTTTGATTGGTGCATTAGTAAAATTCTTTGTTTTGATTGGACAATCAAACGCTTCGAAGCATTTATAGTGTTACATTGATCGTAGCCGCGGTCAGTCTTTTATAGTATCGTCCACTATATTATAAATGATTGCTGTCCAATCAGGACATCGGTCGCGTCTGTCTGGTTATCTAGGATTCTATGACTGATGTGCTACACGTTCCGTATGGTTTGCCTTCTTACGTGTCACGCAATTGATGGTGGTGCGTGTACTGTGCCGCTGACAATGAGCCGCGGCGGTGACTGTGATAAGTGATCTGTGTAAGCCCATTCTCATCGCTAAACGCGAACAGTGGCAGTGGAGAAAGATCGCACATCGGCCACTGTTAGAGCATACCTCTTGATGACTCGCGCTTTAAGTGGGCCTCAGGCAAGCCGGAGCTCGCAATTATGTTCGATGTACCGCAGAAATTCTACGATCTGTGTCGCCTTTGTTTATCCCGGGACGGTGTCAAGTTTTCCATATTCAAGGAGGGGGGCCAGCAAAATATTGCTGAAAAGATATCGACATGCCTGTCAATCACGGTGAGTGCGTCGCGATTCGCGATTATTCCCATTTTATTGGACGCAACCATCTGTGGTGTTTCTAAGACAATCCTGTATGCGTCTCTCCGTCTGCGTTGTTCTCATCATCGCCGTACTTTCTTGCTCTCTCCCTTCCTCTCGCTCGCTCGCTCGCTCGGCTTTAGAGACATTCTCGCGCGCGCTCTACCGCGAGACTTGGAGTCGCTCCTATTCGCCGTCTCTTTCTAACGCGCACACTTCTACATTTGCGCTCGCACTCGCGCTCGGGCGATCGGGCGACGCGTCATAGCGCGAGTGTATATGTGCGCGTGCCATGAGAGAAAGTTTGGCAAGAGATGTGTCCGCGAGATAAGCCGACGAACAGCAACGGCATTTAAAATGGCAGTGATAAGCTCCACATAAGCGTGGCAAGTGGAATTACGGCCACGCGGGTCGGAGAGAGAGAGAGAAAGAGAGAGGGGGAGACTGTGGCTCCTTATTTGGGTGGCCTGTTATCATGTTTCACACGCGAATTCCGTTGTCACACCTTGCGTTATCCGCGCTTCTAAATGTTCCTTTAATTTACTCGAAGCGTCCATTCGTCAATTGCCGACGGCATTAAGAGACGGCACGATCTATATTGTATTTGCACACTTTTTTATTGTCAAACTATATAAGAAAATTAATCGTTTTCTTATTGGAAATTCTTATGTAAGAATTAGAAGATCTTGTATGCCGGAAACATTTCCCACTCGATGTTTTATTTGGTAAAACATTGTTTTAAAAATTGTTATCGGATTTTCGCCATGTTTTGTAAACGTTAATAAAATTATATTAAATTGATTTCTTATTAAAACTTTAGCTTAAACGTTAATGAATCTTTATTGTAAAGATATCTCTGTAATATAATTTGTTTTATACTTGTTTTTAGCTTTATCTTTGAAGTAAAAATTATTAGAGATTAATTTTGAAGGCAATTACAATTAATTCTTAAATTGGATATGTCCTTTTGATGCTCTAAACATATGATAACTGATGTCTGATGATAATTTTACAATTATATTACATGTTAGGATGAAAATTCAAAACTTTGAATAAAAATCTCGAAAAATTTATGCATGTTTTTTCAAGTGTTAATTGAGTTACAATATGATTGAAACATTTAAAAAAGAAAAAGAAAATCTCTTCTCTAAGATAATAAATTTTCTAAATGTTAGGTTTTGTAGGTTAAAAATTCTGAATAGTTCAAACATCAAATATGTAAATGTCTAGTTTGAGGATTAATATATTCTTTCAAAATGTAAATATTGCTTTTATCATCTGGTTTGTTAATGTATTCTTGACAGGTAAAAGATGATGATCCCTTACCACCGATTATCTGTCAGCAATGTGTATACAAGTTAAACATGTTGCATGATTTTCGTGAAGAGTCACAAAAATCTGACCTCTTACTTAAACAGTACCTGGATTATACCAAGCAACTGTCGTCTCATGACGAGCAGGTATTAGACTTGAATTGTTTGATTTATAATTATGATTTGACTTATGATTTAATGACAAATCAACTAATGCTATTTTATTAGATTGAATCTATGTTCAGAAAAGAGGAAATATATATGTTTTATATATAATATATATATTAAAATATATATATATATTTTACTTTGTACTTTTAGAAAGAGTCTTTCTCCACTGCCAAAGTAGCGGGCAAGAGTCCCCTGCAATCGTTCTTCGAGTTGAATAGAATCTTGTTCAACGAGAAGCCTAACTCCGAGCCGGCCAGCATTAATCAAAACATAATACCTCAAACTCAAACGCATCATCTAGAGTTGCCGAACAGCAATATGCAAGAACATGATAATATTAAGTGTGAGCCAATTGATGACGATGACAGTTCTAACAGTTCCGACCCTGAACGATTAGAGATTGAGGATCGCGACGAACAGGAGATTGAAGGCGAGGAAAATGGTTACGATATGACTGTTAGTAAGAGGAGCAGAGTAGACAGCAATTATGATGGCTCTGAATCCAACACAGCGAATTGTAGTCCAGTTAATAGAATGGATACTCCAGAAAGTAACTGCTCTGATACTAACATTGATCAAGAAACGACAAAGTTATGGCAGGCTTTAGCCAAGTAAGACAAATTTATTTGTTTGGCAAATATTTTACTTGTTATCTGGTCAGTAGCTAAATTATACAAATGTACTGTATTAATGGCTCACAGATAAGATAAACAGAATATGTGTGTATTTAAGCCTTGGGTATTTAATAATGAAAGAATTGTTATACAAATTATACACGTAATATATTATATTACGCATAAATATAGTTTCTCATATTATTGCATAAAATAACAAGTTATTTGAATATTTTAAATTAATAACAATTTAATTCACTTGTTTTTATTTATAAAATAGATACTATCATTATTATTTTTATATTAATAAGTTTATATTTGTTATATTTTATATTTGTTTATATTTGTTATATTTTAGTTTTGATTAATAAGATGTTTCAAATTTAATCAATACTGAGTTATTAAATTTAGAGATAGAATTGTATCAAGTATAGTTAATAATTATTTTACATAAAAATTGTTATTTACAGAAATTATAAATTAAGATGATGATAAATATTATAAATTATCAAATATTTTCAATCGATAAAATATTAAATTTACACAGTTAAATACATAATTTGTTCATTTATATTTTATTAACACAGCAATAGAAACTTGGAAATTACGCGAACAAATGGTGATAAGTTGAACAATGGATACACCGGCGAAGCAACCAATTTGTTGCGTTCTTTAATAAACAATAGACAGATTGGTATTACGGCTATTGAGTCGGATAAGATATCTCCGCAAATTAGATTTTATAGAGATACCCAAGGAACAACTACTGAGCATACGCTGGCCGAATTTCCTGTACTCGGTAATCGTACCAATGTAGGAACTTTAGAAAATAAGGTGAGTGAGTCCCAAGCATGAAGTCAATATTTTTATAAAAATATAAGTATACGTAGAGAAAAATAGATAAAGGAAAAGAGAAAAAGATGATTCTGCGAATTTGCTACGTTTGCGTTTTTCTGAATCATTTCTGTGATTCTTTCATGCGGTACTGGCTTGTCCTGCTTCATTCTAAATCGACAAAACATTTTTTGGAAATGTCTCGTCAAATGCGAACATCTGTACGACTAGTAAATAGAAAGAAAATGTTCGCAGGTATAGTGGCGGGAAAAACTCAGGTCATCAAGTTAAGCCATCGGTCGGCCCATCGGCCGATCGTGAAATTCTTTTAAGCCTATTCAGAACATATTCCAGGTAGAATTCCGTAAATCATGGATAATCGAGATTTTTTGGGATTTCTGTTCGCTTTTTGTTAACGGATATCAAGATATAAAATATATAGAAAAACCTATTTTATATTAATTATGAGGCAAATGTTAAAAAATATTTTTCTTTATTATTCTTTTTATATGTCTTATGAATAATTGTATAAAGTCTTTATAATTAAAATATAACTATTTTTTCTTAATCTTTTTCATAAATTATAAGTTTATAATGAATTTCAAAACAATTACATTATTTTCATAATAATTACATTGATATTAAGAACAAAAAAATAGTAAACAATTTTTTTATATTTATGAATAATTTAATTCCGATTCTTTGTAATAATATTTTCAATCTTTAGATATTTGGTAATATATCATTTTGTTCTGATAAACTTCAATGAACCAAGATCCCTTGTTATATATTTGTCTCTTCTCATAATATCGTTTCTTTGTCCTGATAACAGGTAGATCGTGCATTTGGTTTTATTTGTGTTCTTTTGTAAAGTAACTTGCGAACGAAAGGTATCTTTTTCTCGATTCTTTGTTCAGTGAAATAAAATGTAAAATTTTTGTCTGAATTACTTGATTTATTTTTAAAAATCAACACACGGAATCAAACATTACTGAGATATAAATTTTAGAAAATATATGAAATTATTTGTATTTTTAATAACTATAATAATTACAAAATAATTATTGAATAATGATTGAAATAATGATTGAAATTATAAAATCGATTTTATTTCGAAACGATTTATTTTTTTTATATTATAATATGGTTGTTATATACCACAATTAATTAATATAAAGTAAAATAAAGTAAAACAAAAAATATGAAATATTTTAATAAATCTAAATTTATAAATAAAAAATTTTGAAAAAATTTAATAAGTAAAATATTATATGCAGTCTGTACAGAGTGCTTCGATAGACAGTAACCCATCTAGCCCTGCTAGTGTCGGTCGTAAGGAGATGATGGCGACGACAAAAGGTCGCAGAAAACAGAGTTATCCTAGTAAGGCTCCAACGAGTCCAGATATTTTTGCGAATTATCAATATGAACATAATAATGAGGAGCAAGCGCATGATTTTACCACGTGGTCAAGCAAAATAAAAAATAAGGTAATTTCTCTCTAAACAATTTATTTTTTACTCATTTACAATATTATTATTATTGGTTTTTTTGTAACAATCATTGATTGATTGTTTCAGGTGGAGGATCAAAAGCAACAATTTGATCATCAAAGTGGCAACGTAGCGAAAAAGGTTGATATGTCTTGTACAAATTGTGGCACCATGACGACAACTATTTGGAGAAGAAATATGAAGGGCGAGATGGTATGCAATGCTTGTGGATTGTATTACAAACTGCATGGCGTTAATCGTCCGGTTACTATGCGAAGGGATACTATACATACACGCAGACGTAGACCCAAAGGCGAGAAACCAACAAGGCACAGAAGTAAGAGAAGTTAGCAATTAAACATTTAGCAAACGGAATATATATATTTCTTTTTTCAATAAGTGCATCGAAAGATATATGTATATATTGAATTATTTAACTTGTAATTAATTTCTTACTCAATATTGCAGAAAAGAAAATGTTTGTATTTTAATTTAACAAATTTTAGATTTTTACGGATTACGGATCTGTAGACTTTTCATAGTTTCATTAGATTCAATTTTAATTTAAACATATATTTATGATATTTTTTTTTAAAGAAAAAGTATATTTATTTCCATAAAAAATTACATTGAACAATAATACCACATAATTTCATCAAAAGTGCTGTATTAATTCTGAAAAGATATGCCGTTTTTTATTCCATCGTTTAACTTACATACATTATATGAATATATATCAATTTCAATAATATTCTTATTTTTGTTGTAATCATTTATGATTCAAATAGCTTTGCATGATTTAAATATCATTATTACGAAATTATTAAGAAATCACAATAATTTTCTTGAAAAATGACGATCTCTTATATAATAAAAGAACGAAAATAACGGGTTTTATAACATTTTTAGAAAAAGGAGACACAGTCTTAGCATCTCAATCAACAAGAGAACAAATGGATGCCGAGAGTGCTGATATGTTGGAGGCTCTTCGACGACAAATTCATCCTCAGTTGATGATGGCAGCGTTAACGCCTACACACATACCTAGTGGCCATCCGCCTCCGCCAGCTACTTACCCAATACCTTTATCTAGTTACATGATTCATGTAAGTTAATCACATTTATACATTCAATTATCCAAGAAGTATTTTCATATTAACATATCTGGTAAGTTGATTAAAAAAAATTTATTGAATATTTTTCATCTTTAATAAAACTTTATCTTCGTAATTTATCTCTTTTTTTGCTAAACTTATTCTTAGTAAACACAGTTTGAACTTATAACATAACTTATAACATAATGAATTTATAGCAACATGTGAAAGCCGAGGAAGCGCAACGACGCTTGTCCATGGATGAGGAAGCGGACGAAGGTGACGAGGAAAACGTTTCCGATGTTCCCCTCAATCTGGTGGCGACTTCACTCTCGGAGGAGACACACTGAAAAATCGCCGTGCTGAGGCGTCTAGGTATGCTTTTTAAACGGTATAATCCGTTTGGTGACGTTCATCCTGGATGGATTTTTAACATCTCTTCAAACTCTCAGCATTTTTCCCCAAGAAGTCGTTTGTACGGAGATTGCAACGGCGTTACGTGGAAAGTTATCTGGTTTGCGCTATAACGTAGCGCGCACGATGGAACGAGATGATATTAATTACTCAGTATTAATTATTCAAGATGTAAACACATACATATACACACAGAATACAAATATATGTACGTAAAGTACATGTATAGAGATAAAAAACACACACACACACACACACACACGAGAAAATATTTTTATACAAAATTTTATATGTGCTCGCCTGTTGTACATAGACATGTCGCGGATATCGTGGTGCCGTTTGGAGGTCCGTGTCGTTGTTGTCATTGTCTTGTTTCATATTGTACGTATCTTTTAATCGGTCGTCTTATGGTGATGACGACAGCGACAGCTTCTCTAACGGTGTACCTGCAACGTCGTTATGGCTTTTGACATTCGATTGTGTTACGCTCTAAATTTTAACGTCCTTTCAAAAACTTTTATATGTTGTGCGATGAATGTTGAATTTTTCATTTCATATAAAATTTAGATAATGGAATGAAAATAAAAGTAGTTTTTCCGCAGCATCAAATGGTACAAGCAAAATTTTTAAATTTTTACAAGTAAAATTTGGTAAACATGATCTTATAAAAAAAGGAACAATATCTAATTATATTGTTAATAATTATATTTTAACTTTATCATATTAACTTAAAAAATATCAGGGTAAAAAATAAATTAACAATTATTTCTTTTTTAATATAATTAAATTAAAATTTTGTATTAAATGTTATAAAAAAATTTTTATTAATCCTAATTAGAATTTATTGTACTTGTGCTGATGAATCATATATTAATTTAAATAAGAAAGATTAAATAGAACTATAATAGAACTATAAAATTATTGATTAGAAAGATAAATATATGTTCATATATTTATATGAGTAAATTTTGAAAAAGAAAAAATAATTTTTTACATATTGATATAAGTTTTAAGTAAAACTAATAAAATTTATATCAGTTTAGAAAAATTATGTATATTTAAATATATTTAAAATTCAATATTTTGAAATTGAAAGAAATCAGTCTTAAAATATAAAAAATTAATAAACATAAAATAAGTTGATAAATGTGAAATTAATAAAAAATATATTAAAATACTAATATTATAATTAATATATGTACACATATATGTATATATGCACACACACACACACACACACACACACACACACACACACACACACACACACACACACACACACACACACACACACACACACAGTGTGCATAGTGTGCGTGCGTGTGCGTATATATGTGCATATATTAATTATATATTATGTATATAATTAACTGAATTTTATTCTAATTAAATATATATATATAATTTAATATTATCAAATATAACTTAATAAAATAAAAACTCAGGAAGATAATTTATATTTTTTAATTCTGATATATTTGTTTACAATACAAATTTATGTTATATGAATGAATTTCTTTTGTTAGGAATTATGTTACAATCAAATATTGTCTATTTTACAGTAGAGGATTAGAAATTCAGTGAAAAATTCCACATTTCATACGCAACATTTTAATAAGTTCGTCGAATGACGAAAAATTTGAGCGATTGACAATAAGAGATATTATAAAAAGATTGGCGCAATAAGGGATACTTTGGGGCCTGAATAAAAAGCAGAATGTTAGCAATTAATTGTCACAATATGACGTGCCTCCTCTCATCTCCGTTGCTTAGAAGTGGCACTCGCGGAGCCTTAAATTAGAGATCTGTAGATGCTATCGTATTACGAGACTGCTGGAATTGTGCGCGAAAATTAATATTTCTAAATTTCCATCCTCTCGGAAAAAACTTGTACTTAATCTCGGACCGTACTCGCACGCAATTATCTAAGCTAAGATTCTGGAAGCAATAAGAAACACGACATGATATATATACCATCATTGTCGTCATCGTTATCACGGATACTCAGTTGCGCGCTCTCTCTTCTTCTATCTTTCTCGACAATGAACGAGAAACAAGAACTTAAGAAAGTAATACTTAGATAATATATATTCATATGCCGGATATCTTAAAAATAAATTTTACGGCTCCACTGCTGCTGCTGATCATTTTAAAATCAGAATGGGAGAGGCTTCGCTTTAATAGAGTCACAGAAATTTAATAAGGTCCTATATCTACCTCCTATATACACATTTACATGTCATTTATAAGTGTAAATTTATCCATTTTTTTTAAATAGACGGAATTTGGATAAAAATTTGATTTAATCGTTAAGACTCCTGGCTTACTCTGCAATCTTGAGTTAATAATGTCAAAAATAAGAAAACACATTCTAAAAAATGCTTGCAAAATACATTACAGTAGAAATATTTTTTGATAAAATAACGTTTGCAATTAATAAAACAGATTTAAATATATTAAAAACTTTCCTTTTGTTTCGATAATTAATAAATAATCATATACTTGGAAATGGATTGTATCACTAGAAGAAAGAAATTTATTAATGGTTCCCAAATACTAATATTTAATATAAATTTTGACAGAATATTTTTAATTATCATAATATATTATATATGATATGTTATATAATGCCAATGAAATATTTTTAATATATGAGTTATTAAAAATATATTTAAAATATATGAAATATTATGAAATATTTAATAACATTATTAAATAATATAATTGAATGAACGAAATATGTAATTAAAAAATCAGAATTTAATATATTTAATTATATATTTATTTCAATTTAACTAAATCTTGAACTATTATTTAAAAAAGATAAATAAATTATTTAGAACTATCATAATATATTATTCAATTATATTATTTAATCATGAAATTTGTTACTAAATTTTTTGTGTGTTTAATTAAAAATAAAACCACAATTCAGTTCTAGATATATTATATAATATGTTATTTATTGATTATTAAAGAAAATTTTTAATATATATTAATATATATTAATATAATTTTTAATATATATTTAATATATATTTAATATATATATTACAAATCTATCTTATTGATTGCGAACATTATTTTATTGAAAAATATTTCTATTTTACTGTATTGTGTAAAAATTTTCATTGTGTCTTTTTACTTGTAATATTATAAATTCTTCTATAGATAATTGCAGTAAATCAGCAGGAGTCTCAATCAAGTAAACGGAAATAATTGCACGCAATATACAGAGGCTATGATTAAACAATTGAAAATTACATCTCTATCATATTTTTCAGGACACCGTAGGTTTTAATCACACACACACACACACACACACACACACACACACACACACACACACACACACACACACACACACACACACACACACACACACTACTCTCTCTCTCTCTCTCTCTCTCTCTCTCTCTCTCTCTCTCTCTTTTTCAATTTTTTTATCCCAGTCCGTGCGCGTAGTGAAATAATAAAAGCGTGGGCCAGGGTCTCCGCCGTTTCTCAGAATTGTACAGTTAGCGTCAAGGAACGGGTGTTAAGCGATCTTACATAGCGCATAATACTATGGCCAGTGCATCTATTCATGGTATCGTAATATTTAACGTGTCGTATACCTAATCAACATTGCCAAAAATAGATTTAGTCTACGTACGTAGGATAGTTAAGCACGTACACAAAAATTTAGCATTCTTATTCTATTCTCCCCTAGGTTCCTCACACGCTCTTATTTTTCTTTATTATTTTTCTTTTTATCTTTTATTCTTTTCCCCGTCTTTCTCTGTATACACACATATATTTCTCTTTCTTTTTTCTAAAATCATAAAAACTTGTTTATTTATTTTTATACCCTTCCAGTCTTCCTTCTTTTATTGCGGAGACCCTTGGAAGATTTTCGTAAAAATTTCGAAAATAACTTGCAGCAGCTTGCGGAGTATCTTAGCATTAATCGTTAATAAAGGAATCTTATGAACAAATAATTTTTCCCGTTAGAAACACTGTTCTTTTGACTACGAATTGACTGTTCTGTTTTCTTTCTATTAAAATATCCGGATAATTTAGATGATAAGTGCAAAATTTAAACAATGAAATTTTAAAAATTTGATTTATATATCTATCTATTTAATATTTAATTAGATAGATGTTGAAAAACGAATTATTATTATTATGAGATTTCCTTATATTTTTCTTTTTTTCTTTTTTAACTTTCAAAATGAAAGAACGGGGTTAATGTCGGGAGATATTCTCTATATACATATGTTGAGAGAATAAAGTTTGGAATTTTCCTAAATATTTTATAAAAATCGTTCTTAACAATGAATATTTTCGTACAATTTATGTTTTGTTTAATGTTAAACAATGATATTATGCATATTAAACGTTATAAATTTAAAACAAAAATTTTATGTTGCTAATATAAGTTGGCTTTTTAGTTCAAAAATATTTTAAAATTATTTTAAATATTAATAAAAAATATTATAAAAAAAATGTTATCTTTTGTGACTATATTTGAAAAAACAATTAAACTTATGCATAATGAAACTTTTGTAACATAACATGTAAAACATGATATGGATAAATTTCTAATTATGGAATATAAACCATCTTATGTATTAATTTTTAAATTTTATTTTGATTGGATATTTAATGCATTCCGAAATCCATCATAATTTAAAGTGCAACTATTCTGTCCATTACTATATGTACAAGGAATAATGATCGAGCGGATTATCGCTCGATTGCAACAATATATAAAAAATATATAATATATTATATTTAATATCATATAAGATATCCCAGACTTACCGTAACACCCGTTAGTGACAGATTCCTCAGACCATTTTGAGATGAAAATTCTAATATTAAAATGTCAAGATTGCAATAGTTTTTAAATGAGAAGGATTTTAAGTTAATTAATTAAATTGTCCGATATTCACGCATTCAGTTATGTTACGTTGTATAATAGTAAAGGTATTTTCTATTCTTTTTAAATTTTTTTTAAATTGATGTAATTCTGCATGCGATATTATTGTAATTATTTCTTATTTTTATTCTTTTATACGTGGGCTACTAATTAATTATGAAAATAATAATAGCATAATAGAAAATGATAAGTATAAAATAAATACAAAAAATTATTTATAAGTTGTGATTAATTCGTACATTTTTACTACATTGTTGTCTATTTTTGACATATTAAATGTGACAGCTGTGAAAGTTCGATGTATGTCGCATTTCCTCCACATTTTTTATTATGTTATTATTTTCATAATTAACTGATAGCCTAAGCACAAAAGAATAGAAATAAGAAATAATTGCAACGACGATATATAGAATTACATTAATTTCGAGAATAAACTTGATATTTGAAAACATATTTACTATTATGCAATGTATCTTGTTTGAGCGAACGAATTTCAGATACTGTAATCAATCAACTTTAGATCCTTCTTATTTGAATTAGCCTCGACATTTTATATTAGGATTTTCCTCTCGAAATGATCTCAGAAATTTGTTATTAACGCATTGAAAGTAAGGTATGATGCCTTTATATAACAACTTTAGCGATTTGATTATATTATTGTACGAATTGTACGGGAACACACTCATTGTTAAGGTCAAACAAATTTTCAAACTTCGCTGCCAACATATGTATATAAATATATGTATACAACAT